AGTAAGCCACAAATTTCTGTTGATTTCCAGACCATGTAGTTGGCTGTTAAACTTTCGCTTCCCCCCGGTTTTCCCCTCTCATTAAATGGCTGATGGAAACTCAATCGATATCCGTCAGCAGGGCGTTCTAATAACGTGTTCAACATGTCAGCCGAGTGCTTATGTCCAGTAATTCCGGGGGTTGGGGCCTCTAGAACCAACACCACCACTCAAGGCCCGGATCTCCCCCTGGACTACCACTTATGAAATTGAATGTAAACAAAATGAGCGACTCGACTGCAAAGCTCAGTCGTCGGGTGACAATATCCCCCAGCAATCAACCACTGGCAATCCCAATCCCAAAACCAAACGAACCCCTTCCAGAACCCCTTCTAAACCCCTGCAGACCCGCTTGTGTTGACTGACATATCGGCGCCAAGCAGGCAATTAACATGCGATTGTCATAAATTTACTCAATGCACAGATTATTAAACATTCATAAAATAAATTACCCAGCCAAAGTGCATAAATTCTGAATTGATTTTAACGCATTGTCCGAGACAAAGAAGAAAGTCGCCCCCTCGCAGGAGGAGAGGAGTCTGGTTATTGAATTTTAACGATGTCGGGCAGAATGGCCAAGGGAAAAACATAAACATAAATTCCTTCAAAGTCTTCGGGCGAAACAACAATTGCATAGAAATCAATTTCAGAGAAGAAGCGTTCAAGGGTTAAATTCCAAGGGGGAGGATATAAATTTTGTAAATGCAACGAGGGGAGAACTGAAGTGGTGGGGGCTCAGAGTCCCCACAAATCAGGGGCGGCTAAGGGGGGCTTTCATTTAATGGCATTTGTGGCTTGTCGCTGGGGTTGAAACAAAGACTTTTCTGTAGTTTCTTAAGGATGCGGAGGGAAATGGAAAACCATCGACCATCGACTTGAGCACTGGCTGTTAGAAATCGGATAGTTATGAAAACTTCCCCATAAAATGCTCAGCAGCCATCATTGAAAGGGGTTGCATTTGGAGCCTTAAAGCTATTTTAAATCTAAAACTCTTTGAAAGTTTCTGAAATGTATTCCAAACTATAATCACAAATTTATTGGGTTTCAGTTTAGAAACTGATAGTTTTCGAATAAAAATGAACTTTAATCTTTCAAGCATTTTTAAGCAAGTGAACACAGAAATAAGTAACTTAGATATTTTTTGTATTACGAGTACGTTTATTTACTAAATAATTTTTACTTCAGGATAACCGTATAATAATGATTTTTTGTTTTAACTTGGTATTTTTCCACCAATTTAATCCCCCGTCCAGTTACCGAACCGATTAAAGGCGACAAGCAGAATCGCAGATAACCTCACAATAGTTAAAGCTAAAGCTGCGACGTGATTGCATTTCAGCTAACTGCATTACACTTCGCCTTTGCCCGCTCTAAGCAGATAATTTGGGCCAGAATACCATTAGGAATTCCCTTTTCCCGCTCGAAATCGGAGATGGGAGCTGTATCTTCGGGCTTAATTCGACTGCATCTCACACAATCCCCCAGAAACCCCAGAAAAAAGCAGGAGCAGGAGCACACTCAGATGTGAAATGAAATTACGAAGAACCAGCTGAATGTCAATGTCCTCCCACAAAATCCCTTCCCATCTGCTCCTCGTTCTGCGATGCCAAAAACAAAGACCGAGCGGAATGTATATACAGCAGTATGTACAAATATATATATTTTTTATGACATTTCTGACAATTTATGATGCAAATTCCTCACCCAAAAACTGAAGAATGAAGCGATGGCACGAGGAGAAGCCTCCGACAAATTGTCGAGAAATTGCATAAAACTATAAAAAGGGCAAAAAACCCAGAAACATGGGAGAAAAAACAAATTGTTATGCTGAAATCTGTAATCTGAAGTAGTTGCGGATGCACTCGAGAGATATTTATGGGGCGAGTGGGAGTGAGAGGGAGCATGGCGAAAAAGAGACGGCACACTCTGGGCAAAGGGCAAAAGCTGTATGCAAAATTGTTTTATTTCTGCTTTCATTATTTTGCTTTATATTTCGTGATGGCTTTTTATTTTCTGTTGATTCATCAGAAAATAAATTGAAATATTCTTGTTGACAAAACCGAATTCGGACAGAAAACTTTTTGCTGTTTGCCATTGGATGATTCATTTAATTTACTAAAACTAACACAACATGGAAAATATTTGATAATAAAATCACGTTCACACGCTTACGGCCACAAATCAATTGGTGCCACCGAAAACGAACCATCAATGAAATCGGCCCCGGCCCCGAGAACCCAAAGTTCATTATAAAATTATTTGTCTTGCTTTTATTTGGGTCCCCAATTCGTGGAAAGAGTTTTGACCGCAAGTGAGGACTGCCCCTCCACCCACACGAATTTGCCTTTGGCCTTTAATATGTATAAATACCAATCTATCCCACGAACTCTACCACAACAGATTCTTTCAACTTGTGCGGTCCCCTTTTTCTGGTTAATATGACTGGGTTTTATCCGAAAGTCACACAAACAAGCCAGAAAAAAGAAAAGCGAGCTACTGGTAGCAATACTCTTATATATGGTCATTTAAAAACAAGTATTGCAATTTAAACAGCAAAACACCACAAAAAGTGATGGAAAAATGAAAAGAGCTTAATTAACGAAATGAAATATGACCTTGTTTTTGGCTGAAAATCGAAATGGGTTCTGATGACGAAAGTGAAAGACAGCGCAGACAAAAATAGCGAATAGAGCTATCTAATCCATTTAAGATAGTCAAAGGGTTAAATTAAACCTTAGCAGAAATATGATATTAATGAATTTAATGAATGGTTTCATAATGATAAAAAATATTTATATTAAAAGACTAGTTAAAATTAGGGTTTCTTAACCACTTAAAATCCAATTAATGGTGGCACTAACCCTTTTTTTAAAGTTTTATTGTCTTCTGAACATCAATATTTTTGGAAATTTTGTTCCCACACAACCAAAAAACTTCGATTTCGATCACAACGATTTTAAATAACTGATTTCCATTTCGTGCATGTGGCCAAAACTCAAACATGGCACAATATGTTATGAATTTTTATTGAGTTGTTTGTGCGTTGAAGAAAAAATTAATTTATCGCCTTCGCTCGTTCGTTATTGTTCAAATAAAAGGCCAAACCGAAATCGACGATCGAAAAAACGGAGGAATTCGGAGGCATCATCATCATCTGGACACCGCCATCGATGGACATCAATGTGGGGATATGTCAGAAAGTCGGAGGCGGGGAGACGTTGCCTGAATTTAAATGGACAAATTAATTGCGTTTGTCAGGCCTGTGGACAGGTTCTGGCCATTGGGACAACAGCGGGCCCAAACGCCCGAACAAAGAATTAATTGGTTTTTGGACACTGGATGAAATATATTTAATTTAGGCTTAATGCCGGACAGAGATTGCATTTTAGTATGCATCCCCTCTCTCTCTCCATCTCCTTACAAGTGTCAAATTGGCATTGAATCATGACTGGGACTGTATCTCTTTATCTGTACGCGATCGTCGGGCCATCAAATAGCCATTAAACAGTAGACCATTATCCTGGTTGATGGGGAAAGAATGCCAGAAACCCTCTATAAAGGATCTGGGGTCTCAAACCGCAGGCGATCGTGTGGCTCAGTCGCTGATCGAGGACCGGAACATAAATTATCACTTCGTTTTGGGTCCGACAAAGTGACTTGTAGAGAATACAATCGGGGAGAGATCAGGAGTAAGAACTATGTATTAAACACTGAGAAAAAATTATTGAAATTTATTTAAATTATAAGAAAAAGTATAAGAATTTTAAAATGTATAATGAAGTTTAGATTTTCCAATAACCAATAAAATATATGAAAAAATATTAATTCTTTAAGTACCTAAAAATATTTTTGTTAATTTGAGCATAGCAAAATTACTTCACATATATTGTAATGTGTAATCCCTTAGTTGAACATTTTGTTCTGGCTATTATAATTATATTTATTCAAAATAGTATAGAAGGAATATTTTTCCCCGAATACAATGATGCTCTCCCCTAGTTTTGAAATCCTCTTTTGTCCGATCTGAGTTGACAGTTTTATTGTGTCGCCCTTTTTGAATTAATTGAGCCGCCCCTCGCTCAGTTCCAAATGAAGTCGTTGTCGCTGTCGTGTTTCCAAGGAATGTCGTGAGGATGAGTTCCCTGAGACCTCATCCCATCCCTGGAGATGGAACCCCTGAGGGAAGATGGACCGCGAGGACCACACATTGTGATAGAGACACACGCAGCTCTTTTCACGAACCCAAAAAGCATTCCCTAACAAATTGCTTCTTCTCTATTTATTCGGCCTGCGGGCAAGAGCCGTTGCCAATTAATTATAATTGATTGGCGATATTAACGAAAATTATGATGATTATGATTATTCGCTGGAAATGCACCCGCAGATACGTAGATACGTTTTTCTGTCGAAAGATTCAAACGATTCGTAATAAAAGCTGAAAACTATTCGGATGCATGATAAACGACTTAATTGTGGCTTTCAGCGAGCCATTGGTATTTAAATAATTAAACTTTTGATATATCATCTGCGCGGCTATAAAGAATATTTTAATCGGTTTGAACGACGCTTTAAGGCGTACAAAAGTGGGAAAATAAATAAACACGGGGGATTGGACTTTAAAAAAGGAAAGTGATGAAAGAAATATCTTAAATAAATGAACTGGCAATCTTTTGCTGATTAATAAATATTTTTAAATACCTCAGGAATGAATTTTGTTTAAAAGAAACTCAAGCCAAAAATAATAGGAATTATTTTAATTACATTTATGATTAGTATAGGTTATAGTTCGTTTCTCAATTGCCTTTTAACCTGAGAATAAATAAATTAATAAATAAATTAGTATCATATGGTCTTTTTAAAATGTAATATTATTTTTATAACTTAATGGCTTTACTTCCTAATTTTTGGTATGGTCACATTGCATTACATCTATTCTACAAGTAGTCACCCTAAATTTATTTTAGGAGCTGTCAAAAATTTATCAGAATATTTTGATCGTTTGTGTTCACTTGCAAGGTATTGTTTATCTTTGGATAATTTCGCAAGTATGGGTCGTCGCCGGAATAGTTCAAGGGGTTACCAGGCCTGGCGCTCCCGTTCCCGTTCGCGTTCCAAGTCGCGTCCCCGACCCACTCGCTCCGACACGATCTTCTCAGACAGACCGCGGCTGGAACGACGTCCGGGCCATGCTGCCTCATCCTGGGACATTCCGGCCGCCGGATATGACCACCTGACCCCGCTCCAGTACAAGGCCATGCAGGCCAGTGGGCAGATTGCCTCCAGGATTGTTCCGGATGCCGTGCCAACGGGGGAATCCGCTGCCATTGCGATGGTCACCAGACAAGCTCGTCGTTTGTATGTGGGCAATATTCCATTTGGCGTTACGGAGGAGGACATGATGAACTTCTTCAACAACCAGATCATGTCCCTGGGCCTGAATGTCTCCCAGGGTTTGGATGCCAGGGCGGTGCTGACCTGTCAGACGAACCTGGAAAAGAACTTCGCCTTCCTGGAATTTCGGTCCATGGATGAGGCCACCCAGGCCATCGCCTTCGATGGGATTAGCTTTCGCGGGCAGACTTTGAAGATCCGAAGACCCCATGACTACCAACCGGTGGCCTCATTTTGTCCCCCCGAAGTCGAAACTTCCCTCGACTTGAAGATGCTCACAAATTTGAATATTCCATCGACTTCAGGCGCTTCAGCTGGACATGCTATATCCACCCTTGTTCCCGATTCCCCGAATAAGATCTACGTGGGTGGCCTGCCCACCTGCTTGGAGGAAGCACAGATCAAGGAGCTGCTTCTTTCATTCGGAAGACTAAAAGGATTCAATCTGGTGAAGGATAGCCAGACCTCCCTGAGCAAAGGATTCGCCTTCTTCGAGTATGTGGATCCCACGGTCACCGAACAAGCTATAGCTGGCCTAAATGGCATGCAGTTGGGGGAACGCAGGTTGGTTGTCCAGCGATCCATTCCCGGAGGAAAGAACGGGATCATTGGACAACCTCCCGTAGTTCAGGTACCGGGGATATCCACCCTACTATCCACTGGCTCACCCACGGAGATTCTGTGCCTGTTCAACATGGTTCTGCCGGAGGAACTCCTGGACGACGAGGAGTACGAGGACATCAGCAGCGACATCAAGCAGGAGTGCACCAAGTACGGGGAGGTGCGCAGCCTCAAGATCCCCCGACCCATCGGCCCCTCTCCGCAGCGGGGCTGTGGCAAGGTCTACGTCCAGTTCGAGTCCGTGGAGGACTGCCAGAGGGCCCTCAAGTCGATCAGTGGACGCAAGTTTAGCGGTCGCATCGTGATGACCTCGTTCTACGACCCCGAAAAGTATCTGGCCAACGACCTTCAATAAGTTTAATAATAACATTGGTTCAGAGAATGCCTAAAAAGCTGTCTTTGAAATTGAGTTCTTCTTAATTTAAAAACTGATTTGAAATCTCCCGAAAGGGAAAAAGGTTTGGCTCTGCTGGTGCTCTGCCGCCACATGCACAGCTGTCAGCACAGGAGTTAAAGAATTAGAGGAAGGATCGAAGTAAATAGTCATATATAAGTTTCTATAATGCCCGTGCACATTATGAGGGAGCTTATTATAAACCTCGTTAATATTTTATTAATATTCTACAACGCTTCTACTCGCTATATATAAAATTGGAGAAATTAACTTGTTGATATGTACAACTTAAGTATCTGAGAATTCCATCTTGTCAGCTGTTGAATCGGTTAACTGATGGGTCCAAGGCCAGACTGCGATAACGAATTTAATCCCCTGCGAAAGAACCGGCTCTCGTTATTGTTTTTCGTTGTTGTGATATCATCTGCTTAATGCCACAGAAATCGCTTTAAGTTATCTGGGGTTGGGATGCCAGGACACGCCTCCCCGCCCCCAAAAAGGGGCGGCCCGGGATTCAATTAGGCAGACCGACTTAAGCTGCAATCCTTAAAGCTGCTCCAAAGCTGACACCTCCTTCTGCAGGTCCTCTTCTCCTGTTCGTCTCTTATTTTCAACCTCCCTCTACCAACAAAGCTCTTGCTTAATTAAAATTTTAAACTTTACGCTTTATCGCCGGCATTTCTCGGGCATATTCACACCTACCTTCTGCTTTATACCAGGTAATTCCTTAATGCCCTGCCCTCAATGAAGAAGCTTCTTGGCTGCTTATCTCGCCGAACGGTTGCATTTTCTCAGGTCTCACGTTTCAAGACTTTCGGGGCATCCGCCTTGGGGTCTTTTCTTATCGCAGACTTTGGTCATTTCGTCGACAGCCGATCATCAATACTCGTACGCGTAATGAAATGGTTAATACACGGAAAGAAATGAAGGTCGATTTTTTATATATATTTATTTTTGTTCGGAAATACAGTTTGTTGGAAAAAAAACTTATTGAAAAACCTGTTAAATCTTAAAAAAAATATTATTCTAGATGGTTTTCTGTAAAAAAAAAATAAAAATTTGTTACTCAATGTGATGTAAATTTTAAGAACCAACCAATATTTTTAGATTATATTGTCATTCGTCCAATTTAACAAGAACATGGATTCTAACTACAATAATATTGGGAAACGGAATTTTTCCAAACAACGCATTTATAACTCAAGGACAAAAGTTAGCATTGAGACCTTACCTTAAAAATGGTAGTTGGAAATGGATGTAAGAACATATCAGGAACCTCCCATTTTTCCCCCAGTGCAGCTTTAAGAGCGTTGAAAGCCCATCTCCAGACTGAACGATTTATCAGTGGCAACGACGACCACAACTAAACGCTTTATCGGAGTGGTGGAGATTGTGGCAGGAAGGAGCGGAAAAGACGGAGAACCTGAGTGGATTGTGGACACAAATTAATTCAACGCCTTGGACTTTTGTCATTCACCGGAGCAGACGATCTGAAGGCGAACCTTTCATTCCCCGTGTTCCCCCAAAAAAAGCAACTAAAAACTTCTTTCGAAGCCGCTGCTGTCCCATGAAAATCAATGCCTCGATGGGTAATTAATAAACGCCCATAAAGATGCGGATACAATAAAAATTCCTCTGGAATCGGAGGCGGGGAGGATGGGAGGAATCGAACTCAAAAGGGTTTCTTTGATTTTGTAGTTTTTTCCTTCGTTGATTTTTATGATCTGGCAGCTGCGCTTTGGGGATTAACTGGATTGACTTCTAATCTTTCCAGCTCTCCGAATCTCGTCGAGCAACTTCCCCCTTTCCATCGATGGATTGTGACCGAGGTTAGGGTCTCAGTGATGTTAGGTAATCGAAATTAAGCAATCAAAGGCCCAGTTGAGTGAACCCTCGCCAGCTCCTATGCATTTTTAATTGCATTCTCATCATTTCATTTGAATATGATGTAGTAGATAATTACCGGTCTCCTGCCAGAGCAACGCCCTTGATAAAGCGATTGTTAAATGACTCTTTTACCTCACTTGATTGTTCTATTTGGTAGCTGGAAAGTATCAGAAGCTTGTTTTTTTACTTATCGCATCCATCACTTGATTTGTGTATCCCCCGAGTTATCCAACTTAATTAGTTGGATCTGCAGGACGTTGTGCTTCACTAATGATAGTTTAGATGACCGAACATCGTATAAATTTGCCAAAGATATAGAGATACTCCTATGAGATGGGGTATCCATAAAAATTTGTTCTTCTAATGATCGCGATAGGCATCTCGCATGTGTTCAATTTGTACAGATTTAATTAAGATACATGGAAATATTCAGAGACAAGCGCGTTTAATGAACTGAACTGCGAATCGCAGAAAGGTCAGAAGTTAATCTCTGAAATATTTAAAAATCAAGCAATCAAAGCCGGAAACTTTTTCTGGTTCTCAAAGGGAGAATTCAATTAACCAGAACCTGTTGCTTTGTTTGGTTTACCCGCAATTCAATTCACATTTCCGGGGCCCTAAAAAAGAAGAAATTAAAGGACTGAAGAGCCCAAGAACAAAACATGCGAAATAAAATCAAATAAACAAATATTGTTGTGCAGTTCGAGCGAATTTGTAATTTCCCCTTCATAGTCAACAACAAAGGCTAAAAACAAATTACCAGCGAGAATAATTTCACCGAAATTTCCACTTGGGGTTGTATCTGGAGAGGAGGGACGGGGTTTTGGATGGTATTCCCCACCCACTTTCGGGCTGTCATTGCCATTCCCCTTCCAGGGTTTCCACGTCGCTTCGTTAATGGCAGCGCAATTAATTCGAGCAAATCGTCTGTGAACCCTTTTTATGACCTCTAAGAGCCCGGTTCACACTGCCACCCATCCGCCTTTTATCCCCGTCTCATTCGCAGATAAAAATTCATTAAACGACATCATTGGAGAGCTTTGTTTCGCTTTGAACTGTTTGCCGGGCGATAATAAATGCGGAATAGAAACGCAAATGCCGAAAAAAGTGTTCTTTAAATGCTTCAGAAGTTGTTTTTATTCGGGGTGGCGAAAATTGTTTGGGTTTTATTTGCGTAAACTGTTGAATGAGCTACAATAGAACCTGAACTTGGTTCTAGGAAACCTACTTCTTAAGGTTCTAAATTTATAAAGATTTCTTTTGATGATGCAAGATAATAACGGTTTGGTACATCCAGTAAATTATCAAATGTATTCTCTTTTTTTTTTTTAATTATTACAATATTATTTAAAGATACAATCAAATAAAGATCCTTAAGATATTCTCAATATTTCACAAATTATAAAATTGTTTTTTACCCTATGCATAAGATTAAATGGGTTCGGTAAACATAGAAAATATTACGAGCATTTTCTGATTGATCATAATATCTATTAAACAAATAATTAATCAAATGTTATTCTTCCGGTTTTTAATAATAAGTGGATATTATTCATAACACAAACTTATTTGTATCACCTTTTGTTCAGCTATTGCTTGTTAACATTCCGCATAATAGGTAAAACCATTCAGCTGAACTACGTCCCTGTCAGGGATATAAATCTCGCTACCTCTTCCCAAAAGTTATACTGGACTAGTTCCCCCAGCACCATTAAACTAACCCATTAGCTGGCTATTCAACATTTTGAGCACATTGTTACACGATAATACCGCTGATCTATTACGCGGCTCAAGCACCATTTGTCTTTCCAAACTCTTACACAATCCGAATCCAGTCGAGTTTCGAATCCTAAGCCAGAATGCGAGTTCGAAGAACCCATTTGTGGACACCCTACGGCGCCGAGGGAAAAACAAAAGGAAAAGCGGTGGGCATCCGAATGGGTTTTTCCAGCAGCTCGGCGAGGGAGGGTCCAAGACCAGCGCGAAATAACCTGCGAGTCGAGCGCATTTAATGAGGGTCATAAAATCAAGCGCCGGGCCTCAACCTCCAGACAGAGCGAGAAAAAAAGAGGCCCAGACATACAGATAAACCGAAACTAAACCAATCCAAAACCGAGAAGGTGTAACAGGTGAGCCGGCAATGAAATTATAATGCAGATTATCCCGGGGAAGGAGAATTGGTAGCTCTGTGGCCCAAAAAGGACATCTAAGTGGCCCAAAGCTGACGATTTGAGGAGGAAACCATTTCGTACCATTTAACCATTTTCCTTTTATTTCGAGTATTTGCTTTGATATTTTGCCGCAAACCTTTTAAATCGTTTGTTTGGGAATTACACCAAGGGTTTTCTTTGTTGCCCCTCCTCTCCTATGCAAATGCGTGTCAACTTTGACCCCAAGTGAAGCCGAAACACATAATCCGAAAAAAAGAAGAAAAAATGGAGCAGATGCGAAACAACAATAAGAGACCGGGCAGCGAAACAATGGAAAATCCGAACTTAAGCTCCTCGAAATGCTCGACTTTTTCGACTGGCCGCCACTTCACTCCGCCTGGCATAATCCAAACTAAATGTCCGACTTAATTTTGTTGTTCAACTGTCCTGCTTTTGCCCCGCCTTTGCATGCACTGCGAGAAATATTTCAGGGAAAATGTTCCAAAAATAAATGGACAGTTAGGTTGTAAAAATTGTCTCGAGGGTTTTAATTTTTATTTATTTTAATTTGATATTTAAATGGATTGATTTATTTAAAATGTACATACAACTAGTTAAAAGTATGCTTAAGAATTTGGACAAATTTATAGTGATTGAAAAATGAAAATAAGTTATAAAAGTTATGAAAATAATATTTTTGTATTCTATTTTTTCATAATTATATATTGTTCTTATAAATATAAATTTTCTTATGAATGGTGTTTAAAAAATAGATTTCAAGATTTCCCAATTTTTTTTAGATGTAATGGAATATATATTTTGGTTACTGGGGCATATTAACAGGATATTATTGAGTTCTGGTAATTTTTATTTTATACACTTGATCGATTTATCAAAACACTAAACTCCAATGAACCATATATG